CCTGGTCCATTATACTCCTGCTATGAGTGAAACCATCCGGTATTTTTCTTTCTCTTTCTGGCTTATCTCACTAAGCATGACCTTTTCCAGCTCCATCCAAGTTGCCTGCAGCTTATTTTAATTCAAAGGAAAATTAAAAGTTAAAACTCACATTTTATGTGTAAATTTAAAATGCCTTAATAGAATATTTTCCCATGTATTATCTTAATCATAAGGGACAGCCCTATGAGGCAGAATTACATACATCGCATAGACCAGTAAACAGAGACTCAGAGAGATCAAGTGACATTTCCTAAGTTACAGCTATTAAGTGATTCATAAAATTTTTATGCCTCTATAAAGGACCAGGGGGAAAAAATAAATAACAATAATGAACAACTATATACCAGAGACATTTTATGAAGGTGGAGCGGAAAATGGGATCAAAACTGGGTGGGGGGTGGAGTGCACAGGACTATGGTGATGGCGCACAGGGTGAATTGGTGATGGGAAGTCCATGGGTATTACAACTGAGATGGAAAAAGGCACAAAATGATGTAAAAATAAACTATTATAAAAATAAAAATAGATTTTGAAATAAAATTTTCAAGCAGAAAAAAAATTTTTTTTAACGCCTCTAAACCCTTTGGTCTGTCTCTCTGTCACAACGTCTGGTACAGCCTGTCATAAACATTTCTCACCAAAAAAACAGTGAAACTGTAGGAAATGTACAATTTGTTGTTGTTTTCAACTGTATGGCGGAAGGGGACGAAGGTAGTCTACTATTTATAAAATTTATTTTTTTTTAAATTTATGTTTTAAAAGGTGAAGACCAAGAAGACAATGCCTGCATTTACGAAAGTTCAAAGAAACACTGCATGATTTATGCCTAGTATTGCTTCTGGTTCAAATATCAGAGAAATACTCTTATTCTACTCCCATGTTGATTAATGAAGGTTGAGAAATTATTCCCAGTTCCTCAATTATAAAAAAAAAATAAAAGGACATCTATATCGCCTATATTAAGAGAGCAATTAGAGGTAGCACTCTAAAAAAGCCTTTACAAAAACTTGTCAAATTCAATGTAATCACCAAATTGATTCCTTCCTATTGAAGAAATCTTGAGAGTTGGCTCACAAGGGGTGGTACACATGAAGCATTTCTAAAATTTCTTTTCATAGTATATTTAGATGATAATTAGCTTTATCACCATGCTACAATTTTCAAAGTACTTTCAAATCTCACTTGGTCCTTGAAACAACCCACTAAAGCAGGACAGGAATCTCTCACGTTCTATAAAGGAAACTGAGTTCGGGGAAATTGGTTTTTCCAACATCAGCCCTATTTCTTAATGTTGAATGTTTTCTCCAAAAACTGGAGAAAATTCTTAACTGTCAGGATTTAAACATTCAACTTGTTTATGTTCTCTACCTTTAATTTCCTGTCAAAAAGAAAGATTTAGGAGCCGAATAACATCCAGTCTTAATTAGTTCTGTCTTTATTTTCTGTAATCAAATGGTAAACAAACCTATTTTTTTACTCACAGGGGCACAAATGAAATGAGTTGGTTTAAATTAGTGGATAACACCTACATTTTTTTACTATAATTCATCCATTATTTGCAAACTATGTAACTACTCTATACCCTAAAACAAAATGTCTTATAAACCTGAAGCTCAGGATGACAACCTAGACTAGAGAAGTTTCAAGAATGCCAAGGCTCCAATCCTGGCTCAGTATGTTCTCAGCTGTGTAATCTCCTGGGCAAATTTCTTTACCTCCTGGAACTTCAGATTCCTTAACTCTAAAATAGGGATAAAAGAAAAAATGCTTTCATAAGGGTTATAGGAGATAATGCACATGAAGTGTTTAGCATGGTGTTAAAGCACTTAGTTAAATATTGATAACTTGGCACTGTTACTATCAACATTTAACTTCCAGCCAACTAGGCTTCCCTTTGCACTTTCTTAAGTTCACACTCTGGAATAATATATAATGTCTAATATATGTTTTTTCAAGATTTATTTATTTATGCATGCAGAGCTGGGGTACAGGGGCAGCGAGAGGATTCACCATTGACAGAGTGGGGAGCAAACTGATGAAGTACATTGCTGAGGGGAGCAGCTGGTGAGACAGACGAGGTTTGCTGCGCCTTGTGGATCACCTCCGGGCAGGGAATCGAACTCATACCTAAGTGGCAGTGGCCAGCTTCGCAGTGCTGAGCCACCAGGGAGGGCCCGGATATGTTATTTATTTATTTATTTAAAGATTTATTTAGTTATGCATATAAAAGTAGGATACAGGCCAGAGGTGCAGGGGCGGTGAGAGGATTCACCAGAGACAGAGTGGGGAGCAGAACAGGCTGACTAAGTATACTGCTGAGATGAGCAGCAGGTGGGTCAGGAGAGGTCTGCTGCGCTATGTGGGTCATCTCCAGGACAGGGATTGAACTCATGCTGAAGTGGCCCTAGCTTCTTAGTGCTGTGCTTTAACACACTGCGCCACCAGGGAGGGCCGAATATGTTTTTTAAAAGATACTTCAACCACCAGTATACTCAGTTCACTTTGGAAATAAGTCAGATACCATTTTTCTAAGTCTTAGAAAATGGAGTATTGTAAAAACTAACTCTTAATCAAGGGTGAGGTGAAATGGAGTTTTATTGTCTATGGAAATGAAGTGATTATATGTACACACATATATATACATTATACATACATATGTATTTTTAAATATATTTTTATATATCATTTTTACATGAAGTGACATGAAGCTATTAACTTGCTCTTATCATTTCTAGCTTGACAATAGACTGATGAAATCTAAAGAAGGGTCAGTGTTACAACAGTATTACAAGCCCTGTTGAAAGAGATGAATGATGCAACTTCCACAGTAAGAATGGAGTTAACTGAGTCACCCATGTAACCTTTGAGGAGCACTAAATGAGGGAAATTCTTAAGCATTAGCTCCTATACTCCTAGAGAGAACTTTGTATAAGATGCTTCAGTGCTATGTGGACACATCCATGCCCATGAATCTCAGTAATGTCCCATTGATTTTCCATACATATCAGGCTTTAGACTGCCTATGATATGTCCTCCAGAAACACATGTGAATTAATTGATTTTAAAAATTATTAACACACTGGCTGGAGTAGAGTTGCCTTGGATATTGGATATCAATCTCTCCCTAACAGCCCTTGTCTCAAGTAGTTAATACTTTCTTTCAGACTCAATTTTTCTCATCTGGAAAATGGGAAACACCTACCAATTACTAAGCTTAAGTGCAAGAACTCCAACAGGTCGGAACTGACACTGGAAACATAAAACAATGCTTGGTACAAAGTAAGCCTAAGGTAAACAATATAGTACTTTATGATTTGTGCTACTTGTTACACAGGAGTAATAAGGCACCTTTTATTTAGCAATTGCATTTAAGAAGAAACAGACCTTTTCTAGGTGTAGAAAGTAACAATAAAAGATGAGGGAGTTACAATGGGAAAGGGGGGAAGGGAACGCAAGGGGTGGCAAACTAGGAAATTACAATGTCAGGGTGGAAACGATGGCATTAGTGTGCTCTTCAAGAGCTGCAGCAGTGGGGAGGCGACTCGGCTAGGAGGGAATCACTTGGGCCAGGCCTGACCTGTGACTTACCGTGGGCCAGGACATAGTGAAGAGGCCTGGAATATAATGAGATAGCAGGGTAGGGGTGTAGGAGCGACATAACTGGCTAGGAGTCATAGCTTGCGGCCGGGCAGTGCCCGAAACAGGCCCAGCTCGAGGGCATCAGGCCGGTGGGCAACAAAGGGCTCTGATGCTCGGACACTCCTGTTCTCGCAGAGGCTATGAAGGACACAGATCTGTCTGGAGCTGATCACTGCATCTACGCTGAGACCCGCCTGCCCGGAATGGGAGGGAGCCCGGGAGAAGGAAGAGGTTCTTCCCGCTTCGGGATGCGGGACCGAGGAGGAGTGGAGGCAGTGGCTAAGCTAAGGACTCAAGTCCCACCGCCCCGGGGGACGCCGGACTGGATCTGGCTCCCCTGGGCCCAGCGAGGAGGAGGCGGGATCTCAGCGGTTCCGGCGGAAACGGCCTCGGAGTCAGGGGTCACAAGTGGGACAGGCAGCTGCTCAACCAATGGAGTCAGCGAACAAGGAGACTGTAGTCTCTCATTGGTGGTTGTTGGGCGCGGTCGGCAACCAATGAACTCGCCCGGGGGGCGTAGCGGTGACGTTCATTGCGGAGGAGGCCGCTTCGAATCGGCGGTGGCCAGCTTGGTGGCCTGGACCAATCAGCGACCTCCAACGAGCAAAGCCTTCGCCAATCCGCTGCCTCCACGACGGGGCTGGGGGGAGGGTATATAAGCGGAGTCGGCGACGGCGCGGTCGACGCTGGCTGAGATCTCACTGTCTAGTCGACTAGGGAATTTCGTGAGCCAGAGAGGTAAGCATCGCGGCCTGCCTTTCCGGACGTGTCCTTAGCCTTGCCCGCTATTTCTCCTGATCCCGGGCTGTCGCCCTCAGGCAACTTTGTGTGCTCCCGTGCTGCGGCCTGTGGCTGGATTACCGGCGACGTCCCGTTTACCTGCTGATCAAGTGGCCGACGGCGCCGCCAAGATGAAGCTCTCCCTGGTGGCTGCGGTGCTGCTGCTGCTCGGAGCAGCGCGGGCCGAGGAGGAGGACAAGAAGGAGGATGTGGGCACGGTGGTTGGCATCGACCTGGGGACCACCTACTCTTGGTAAGAGGGGTCTGCAAAAAGGGGAGAACGGGGCGTGGCCTCCGGGGTGCGAAGAGAAGCTCGGGGCTGATCTTTTCGGGTTTTCCACCAGCGTCGGCGTGTTCAAGAACGGCCGCGTGGAGATCATCGCTAACGATCAGGGCAACCGAATCACGCCGTCCTATGTGGCCTTCACCCCTGAAGGGGAGCGTCTGATCGGGGATGCAGCCAAAAACCAGCTCACTTCCAACCCCGAGAACACGGTCTTTGACGCCAAGCGACTTATCGGCCGCACATGGAACGACCCGTCGGTGCAGCAGGACATCAAGTTCTTGCCTTTCAAGGTACGACGGGGGTTTTCGCACCCAGACTAGGGGGGAAGAGAGATAAGGCAGTTTAAGATTTAGAAGTAAGTGAAAATGGTGTTGAGCCTTAGAACTAGTAAAGAGACATTGTGTCTGTATACGTAGTAGTTTTCAATAATGCTTGTGTGTATTGAAACTTTAAGATGGTAAAGTTGGCTTAGGTAGAAACTCCACATTTGACTGCTCTGTCCATAACTGTATGATTAAAAGATTGATTGTAATTAAAGAGGCTTGTCTTGCTAAAACATCTTCATTCTAAGTTTTTCTGGTCGGTACTCAGCTATGGAAGACCAAAATGAACCGAATTATGGGGGCGGGAGGGGAGGTCTCATCCTGTTTCCTTTTTTAAAGTTTGAAGTATCATTGCTTCTTCCTCTAAAATGATAATGATTCTTTAAAATAGGTGGTTGAAAAGAAAACGAAACCATACATTCAAGTTGATATTGGAGGTGGGCAAACAAAGACATTCGCCCCTGAAGAAATTTCTGCCATGGTTCTCACTAAAATGAAGGAAACTGCTGAGGCTTATTTGGGCAAGAAGGTAAATACATTTCTAGAACAAGGCTAAGTAATTTGCTGTTAGTTTGAGTTGACTGGGTTGTGTAGATAGTTTCATCATTTTAATAATGAATTTGACATCCATGTTTATTTGACTTATTTGAGTACTGTAGGCCAAACAATACTTACTTTGATGTTATTTTATGCTTGCAAATTTGTGCATGTAAAGTTATATGTATTATATCCTGCCGTAGGAACAAACTGGCTCAGAAACTGAGGTGATGGTTTTTAGTGTAACTTAAATAAGGCTAAATCATATAATAAAGTACACTTAATTACTTTTTGTTATCTTTATAGGTCACTCATGCAGTTGTGACTGTTCCAGCTTATTTCAATGATGCCCAGCGCCAGGCAACCAAGGACGCTGGCACTATTGCTGGTCTGAATGTAATGAGGATCATCAATGAGCCGTAAGTGTTAAGTTTAAGGGTATGGCATAGTTGCCAAATGGGAATGTAAACTTGACTAAGTATCCTCGTTTTCTGTTTTCCTAACAGTACAGCAGCTGCTATTGCTTATGGCCTTGATAAGAGAGAAGGGGAAAAGAATATTCTGGTGTTTGACCTTGGTGGTGGAACCTTCGATGTATCTCTTCTCACCATCGACAATGGTGTCTTTGAAGTCGTGGCTACTAATGGAGATACTCATCTGGGTGGAGAAGACTTTGATCAGCGTGTCATGGAACATTTCATCAAACTCTACAAAAAGAAGACTGGAAAAGATGTACGGAAAGACAACAGAGCTGTTCAGAAACTCCGACGTGAGGTAGAAAAGGCCAAACGTGCCCTGTCTTCTCAGCATCAGGCAAGAATTGAAATCGAGTCCTTCTTTGAAGGAGAAGACTTCTCTGAGACCCTGACTCGGGCCAAGTTTGAAGAGCTAAATATGGTATGTCCCTTGTTTTTTGCTTTGCTAATGAGATCTAGTTAAACTCTGAACTTTATGACAGTGCATTTAAACAACTAGTCATGTCTAGGTAGAACAGGCAACATCATTCATAATTATGTCTCTTCTTCCAGGACCTGTTCCGTTCTACAATGAAGCCTGTCCAGAAAGTGCTGGAAGATTCTGATTTGAAGAAGTCTGATATTGATGAGATTGTTCTTGTTGGTGGCTCTACTAGAATTCCAAAGATTCAGCAACTGGTTAAAGAGTTCTTCAATGGCAAGGAACCATCCCGGGGCATAAACCCAGATGAGGCTGTGGCTTATGGTGCTGCTGTCCAGGCTGGTGTTCTCTCTGGTGATCAAGATACAGGTAGGTCACCGTCACACAGCGCTTTTCTACAGTGCTTCAGTACCTTGATGGGCTAAGTATTGTCAGCTGCTATTTTAGAAAGCAATAGAATGGAAGCAGTAAGCTTCCACAGCTGGTAAAGGGTACAGTGAGAACAGGTTGGTGCAGTGTCAAGATGTTTAGCAGCTGTGTTTGTTATTAAAATGATTTTGCATAGCACGTAATCAAGTGGCAGAATGGAGAAGTGAACTGTCCCTGTTTGTGGGGGGACAGCTTGTTAGGGCTGTGATGACCCTTAAAACTTACCTTGATTAACTTACCTTTGCAGGTGACCTGGTGCTGCTTGATGTATGTCCCCTTACACTTGGTATTGAAACTGTGGGAGGTGTCATGACCAAATTGATTCCAAGGAACACTGTAGTGCCCACCAAGAAGTCTCAGATCTTCTCTACAGCTTCTGATAACCAGCCAACTGTTACTATCAAAGTGTATGAAGGTAATTGTCTACATGTTTGATACTGTATGCTTTTTTTTTCTTAGAGATTTATTTATGCATACAGAACCTATGGTACAAGCCAGAGGCACGGGGGTGGGGTGACAGGTTCACCAGAGACAGAGTGGGGAGCAGGACAGACAGGCAGATGAAATACACTGCTGAGAGGAGCATTGGGTAGGTCAGGAGAGGTCTGTTGTACCATGTGGGTCAGCTCCCTGACCAGGGATCGAACTCATGCTGCAGTGGCTGTGGAGAACTTCATAGTACTGTGCTTTAACCGGTTGTTCCACCAGGGAAGGCGGCCCCACTGTATGCTTTTGAAAACTGCAACTTCTTAACCAGTGATATTGACATGACTAAGGAAAAGTGGTGTCTCAGTTTTCAGACTGGGAGAGTCATTCATTTGATGATACTGTTGAGTTTGGTAGAGTCTGTACAAAGATCCATTTCTTAGCTTAACTAGCATTTAGAAGTTGAAAGTAACTTATGAGCTGACACCCAAAAGAATAAGGAAAGGACTCACAATCTATAAACTGAGTTAATGGTGACTAGTTATTAGTCCCATTTGCTGCTCCTTATGGACCTGTGCTGAGTCACTTCTAGCTTGTAGAGTGCCCTTGATGCCAAGCTTCTAACACTGAAGTGTAAGGATCCAAAAGTACTATTTGACTTTAAAAACTAACAAGATATTTTTTGTGTCACTTTTAGGTGAACGACCCCTGACAAAAGACAATCATCTTCTGGGAACTTTTGATCTGACTGGAATTCCTCCTGCTCCCCGTGGGGTCCCACAGATTGAAGTCACCTTTGAGATAGATGTGAATGGTATTCTGCGAGTGACAGCTGAAGACAAAGGTACAGGCAACAAAAATAAGATCACAATTACCAATGACCAAAATCGCCTGACACCTGAGGAAATTGAAAGGATGGTTAATGATGCTGAGAAGTTTGCAGAGGAAGACAAAAAGCTTAAGGAGCGCATTGACACTAGAAATGAATTAGAAAGCTATGCCTACTCTCTAAAAAATCAGATTGGAGATAAAGAAAAGCTGGGAGGTAAACTCTCCTCAGAAGACAAGGAAACCATGGAAAAAGCTGTAGAAGAAAAGATTGAATGGCTTGAGAGTCACCAAGATGCCGACATTGAAGATTTCAAAGCTAAAAAGAAGGAACTAGAAGAAATTGTTCAGCCAATTATCAGCAAACTCTATGGAAGTGCAGGCCCTCCCCCAACTGGTGATGAAGAACCAGCAGACAAAGATGAGTTGTAGACACTGTTCTGCTAGTGCTGTAATATTGTAAATATTGGACTCAGGAACTTTTGTTAGGAGAAATTTGAGAGAACTTAAGTCTCCAATGTAATTGGAATCTTCACCTTGGAGTGGAGTTGAAAATGCTATAGCCTAAGTGGCTGTTTACTGCTTTTCATTAGCAGTTGCTCACGTCTTGGGGTGGGGGAGAGGAGGAATTGGCAGTCTTAAAAAATGGATAAAAATAAAGCTGGGTTAGGGCGTGTGTTCATCTTGGAAATGTTCTATTTAACAATTGGGTCATGTGCATCTGGTGTAGGAACTTTTTTCTACCATAAGTGACACCAATAAATATTTGTTATTTACACTGGTCTATCTTGTGATAAGCTAATTAGAACAGTCATTGAAGGTTGGGGAGAGGGATGCTTGGGATGCTGAGGTAAGGAAATTTAAAAATTCTGTACTTCAAGGGAATTTGCCTAATGTTAATTTAAGAAAAGGGGTATCCTTATTTAGGCATGGCCATTTCATAATGCCCAAGAGTATTCTTGAATATAACTTGAAAATTCCATTTCTTCATTATTTTTCTAAAGCTGTTTTCCTGGTGGGTTTCTATTAGAAATAATGCTTTAGAGCAACTTGGATTCTCTTAATTGGTGGTGACGAATTACTGTTAACTTTAAGCACAGATCAGTTCATCACTGTAGTATATAAAAGGTGTTTTGAACCCTAGCTATGTCAGAACTTCCTCTCTGAAATCTGGGAACTGTTGAAGTCTAGAGCTGGAGGCCAAAGGCAGTAGTGACAAGCAGGTTCAAGGTCACTTGGGTTGGTTTCCTGAGGAAAGGGACGTCAGGCTCCCTGGTGCTATAATGAAATCCGATACTGCCCACAACCCCCAAGGATAGAGATAGGCCAACAGGAGAAAGGTCAATTAACCTTGCTAAATATGGCAAACCTGGGACTGGCCCACACACTTTACTGAGACCCAGATGTTTGTGTCATTGTCCCCAAAGCCTCTGGGCAGGCCTGGAAACTAACACAAGCAGTCTTCAGGCCAACTTCAGTATAAATTCCAACACTTGTTATGTGGGCAGTGGGAGTATGATGGGGGTTACTGGGCAAAGTCAGCGCCAGTTTCGGTCTTTGCCCCAACAGCTCATTACCGAGTGGTAATGGCCTGTACCCCTCAGGAACAGCTACGGAGTATTAAAAGAAATCTGTCAACCTGTAAATGTTTTCTACTTCCTGATTTCTACAGTTGGGTAGCAATTATAATTTAACATTTTTGTGAGTAGTATTAACCAATTTTGCATATCTCCCTGGGTTGTGTTCCCCTTCATAAAAGAGCTTTCTACACTGGGCTAATTCTCCACTTTCACCTAACTGGTAAGAGTCAAGGGGAAGGTATGTAGTGCCAGGAAAAAGTTAGAGGTATAAAAACAGCTAAGCTAACTTATCTCAAGACAACTGACATTCAGAATTAATGAAAACATAGGAGTTTTATTAGTCAACTACAGTCACAATACAGTCATCATAGATTTCCCCCTCTGTATTCATCCCACCAAACACAAAACAGAGCAGTGTGTCAGTGGGGTTTTCCTCCAGTGAGTCACCACTTGGGCAAATTCCTTCATGAGCAGAATTCCCTTTGTCAGCACCACAATTCAGAGTGACAGAATCTGAGTCTTCTTTCTCAGGAGACATCACTGGCCATGGGATGATACACATAGAATGGTCCAATCGTCCAGCGGGCAGACAAGTTTCAAATTTAAGCAGGGTCCAATGCTGCTTTTCTGTATTGGGGGAAAACACACAAACACTTAAGTGATTTTGAGAAATGATCAGTGATTTGCTGTTTAAGCAGAGCCCAAAGGAACTAAATTGGGGGGGAGGGGGGCGGTCCTGGTGACAGTATAGCTTAGGAAATGTCATTCTGTACAAGTTTTTATTTCTTTGGATTTGTTTTTTGCCTATTTTTAGTTCGTATCTTTGGATTTTTAAAAAAGATACGCATACAAGAGCTGGGGTAAAGGCCATGGGTTTGGGGGCAAGAGACAGAGTGGGGAACACAACATGCAGATGTACTAAATACACTGCTGAGGGGAACAGCAGGGAGACAGGAGGGGTCTGCTGCACCCTGTGGGTCACTCCCTGGCTGGGGACTGAACTCATGCCCCAGTGGCTGCAGACAGCTTCACAGTGCTGACACTTAACCCCTTGTGCCACCGGGGAGGCCCCTCATTTCTTTGGTTTTCGATCTCTCCAGACCAGTCAAAGCACACTGATACTTCCAAAAGAACGGGTTCACTTTAGTGTAAACCTCTGAGGAGCAGCTGCTCACCTATGTGATACTGGTACATTGTGTCCAGCGCCCCCGTGGGTGTCATCCCTCCGAAGACATACATGTGTCTCCCCACAGCCACAGCTGAGTGGGCAGCACAGCCCGTGGGAGCTGCCCCAGTGGGACTTAGCTTCTGCCACTTCATGTCACCTGACAAGAGAGAGAACAAACAGGCACAAGGTGGAAACTGGTTTCACATTTCACACTTACCTGTCAGACTCCTGTGATTTGCAAGCAGGGCCCTCCCTGGTGGTGCAGCGGGTTAAAACGCAGCAGTATGAAGCTGCTGCCACTTCAGCATGAGTTCCATCACTGGCCAGGGAGCTGACCCACATGGCACAGCAGACCTCTCCTGACCTGCCCGCTGCTCTCCTCAGCAGTGTACTTCAGTCCATCTGCCTGCTCTGCTCCCCACTCTGCCTTTGGTAAAATGTCTCACCCCGGTACCTCTGGCCTACCCCCCAGTTGTTGTATGTGTAAATAAATAAATCTTTTTTTAAATTTTGTAAACCAATCACTGATTGGCATTTATTTATTTTTAATTTAAAGATTTTTAAAAATTTATGCATATAAGAACTAGGGTACAGGCCAGAGGTGTGGTGGGTGAGAGGATTCACCAGACACAGAGCAGGGAGCAGAACAGGCGCAGTGACTGAAGTACACAGCTGAGAGGAGCAGCGGGCGTCAGAAGATGTCTGCCACGCTGTGTGGGTCACCTCCTTGGCCGGGGATTGAACTTGTGATGCAGTGGCTGCAGGCAGCTTCAGTGCTGTGCTTTAACCCATTGTGCCACCAGGGAGGGCCCTGATTGGCATTTACTAAGAGCTCTGAGAGGCAGTACAAGCAAGTTTAGTGTGTGAAACAGTAACTTGGTGAAGTCTGAAATTATATGGGGTGGTCCAGGGAGGGAGGGAAGTCCATAACCTCTAGTTTCAACCAACATTCCAGTGATTCTTACCCAGATTGTCTTTGGAGTAGACAGGAGAAAAGGATGTCATGCTGACCAACAACATTAACTATTTTGGTGTTCAGAAACAGGTGAGTTGCCAATAATTGTATTTGTGTGTACATTTTTTTTAAAATATATGCGTACCAGAGCTGGGGTGTAGGTCAAAGGTGGGTGGGTGGGGAGGGGTAAGAGGATTCATCAGAGACAGAGCGGGAAGCAGAACAGGCAGACTGAATGAATATACTACTGAGTGGAGCAGCAAGGAAGACGGCGAGGTGAGCAGCAAGGAAGAAGGCGAGGTCTGCTGCACCATGTGGGTCAGCTCCCTGGCCTGAAGTCAAACTTGCAATGCCTGCAACAGCTTCATAGTGCTGAGACTTAACCCTTGCACCACAGGGAGGCCCCCGTGTGCATGTTTTAAACACAGTTCTTTCTTCAGAAAGCAACTTTATGAACACTGACTTGATACTTTAAATATCTCAATCACTTAATTCTTGTAACAGTGCTATGAAATTACTACCCTGCCTACCCCCTTTCTTCATTTAAAGGAGGAAACAGAACTAGAGAGGGAAGATTTGTCTGACATCCCACAGCCAGTACAGGGCAGAACTTAGGTCTGACTTCAAAACCTGTGTTCTCTATCCCAACCTCCACAAATGCTCTCAACCTACTTGTGCAGGGATACTTACGTCTGTTCAAACCAGCATCTAAATGAGGCAGCCCATCACTCCATTTGAGGCTTGATGGAAAGGAGGAAGAAAAGCCAGAAACTACTACCTTGGCACAAGAGAAAAGGCCTTCCATTTAAAAAATAAGCATTACAACCCCATTTGACTCCCTGCAGGAACATTTCCTTGGAGTTATTTTTCATGTGTCAATTCAAGATATCTCAAAGTGGAAGAAAGAATCACCCAACCCAGTCAAAATTCTAGCCAATACAGGAATCCAGCCAGAGTCACCAGCCTGAGAGGTCACCAGGCCAGAGAACAAGACTTGCCAAGGCATCTATCTGTGGCATAGCAATTCTTGTGCCTTCTGTTCCAATTCTTGCTGGAACACACACAACGCATTTATTCCCTCATCTGTCCATTCATTTACAGAGATGCCCTCATTATCCTCCATATGCCAGTCACTGTGCCAAATGCTGAGAATACACTTTGGAACCAAGGAGAGGACGTCTTCCATATCAGGAGATGGGAGCTCACAGTCTGAAGGAAGGAGCCAGGCCCATGGCCTGAAGAATGGTTCTGGACTCTGCTGGACACAGCCCTCTGGACACTTTGAGAAAACACTCATGTTCTTCCTCACTTTCCCCTTCCTCTTCCTTTCTCCTGTTTTTAAGTGTTCAGTAGAAAAATTCTGGCAACCCACCTCCAGACACACTTTAAGTTATGCATGTTGCTCACGGGTGTGGGGTTAATGGTTAATGCCTGAAAAGAATCCAATTATTAAATGCAAAGTATAGGGCCTCCCTGATGATGCAAGAGTTAAAAGTCTCAGCCCTATCAAGCTATGGCAAGCCACTGAGGCATAAGTTCAATCCCCGGCCAGGGAGCTGACCCACATGGTGCAGCAGACCACTCCTGTCTTTCCCTCTGCTCCCCTCAGCAGTTTATTTCAGCAGATTCACCTGTTCTGCTCCCCACTCTGTCTCTGGTGAATCCTCTCACCAACCCCTGAACCCGAGCACCTCTGGCCTATACTCCAATTCTATATATACAAAAAATAAATCTTTTTTAAAAAATGACAAAATATAGTGTATTTTAATGAAGGACCAAGACTACTGGAAGGATGGCTGGGTACTCACGTACACTCAGGAAATGACTGCTTCCATCATTGTTATTAAAGCCACATTTGGCAGAACATAGTAAAGATTTCGCTGGTTAGTCAAGCTACCTTCACCTCAGAATAAGGGTAAATTCTATCAAAGCACATTTTATTTCTTTCAAGGAGACAATCCCTCATGCCTTTCATTCTACTTACTTGTGTCAATGCAGTGGAGATCATCATAGAATTTGTCCCCTGACAAACCTCCATGGATAAAGAGCTTTGTCCCTACTGCCACCATCACGTGGCCATGCCGGGGGGATGGAGGTTCTCCGAGTGTCTCCGGCTGTGACCAGGTCAGTGTGCCTGGAAAAGTAAATTCACCAACATCATATGACAAAGCTGAGGCGGGACATGAGAAACACACCCAACGTCACTTCCCAGCAAGCAGAGATGCTTCAAGCAGAAAGTGATCTTGGGCAGGTTATCTAGTCCAACTCACCAAGTGGAGCAGCAAGGAAGACGGCGAGGTGAGCAG